CCACATGCACTTTGTGTGGTGAAGGGTGCTTCCTAAAAGAGAAACCGAGAGGCTGTTATCAGAAGAAAGGGGGACAGGCACTGAGCGGACACTGACCGCCCCGTCCTGTACAGCTGTGCAGGGTTGAGCCCCACACTGGACGCCCGAGGTGGGGGCGCCTACTTGGAAGAAACACAACCCCGCCCACAAGCTGCTCACAGACAAGAAGGCGGGGCTGTGTCACGTGGGGCATGGTGGTGTGTGCCTCGAGGGAGGCACGAGTGAGGTGTCTTCAGACGGAGCTGAGATGACTCCGGGAGGGAGTCGGGGCTGGGTCCTCACAACGGCGGAGCCGGGGAGCATGGAGCTCGCCTGCGAAGCAGGACTGATTCCAAATTGTCTGAAGCACAGGGTGCCGTTTGGGAGTCACAGGAAGAGAGGCTGGAAAGCAAAGGAGGCTGAGGAGGAGGAGGAGGTGATCAGACACGGGGGGCAGGCGCTGGGGGGCTCTGTGCAGCATGGACTAGAGGGAGGCCAGGTGGGGGTTCTGCAGGACCCAGGAGGGAAGTGTGCCTGCCAGGGCCGTCGTGGCCCTCCCGTGGCACCGGGTGGCTGGGCCCCTCACTCCGACCACCCTCTGGTCCCTCGACCATCTCATGGTTGTGTCTTTAATGTTCCCAATTAGATTGTCAGCTCTACCATAATAGGGACTTTAGACATTGAACCTCCTGGATTGCCTCTTGCTTTCTTATTTTTCCCTCTATTTCCCATCTTTTATCCATCACTTGTCTTTTTTGTTCTACCTTTTTCTCCCTTTCCTCAATTTTAACTTTCAACCCTTCTATTACAGTTTTAACTCTGATGAAAACACAGGGTTATTCAAGAAAGGAAATGTACTCTTAGTGCATTCATACTTCAGCTGTGAACTGTTTTATAAAGTCGCATCACATACATTTTGAATATTGACTTAACCAAAACTTATCCTAGGAGGCTGGGGGTGGTGAAAAAAGGGTGTATATACCCCTCCTCCTGTGTGTGTATGTATATAGAGAAGATAAATCCTTATCTTTCATTATAGTAAGTGACTATAAAATGCCATAAATTGTAACAGTCATAATTGATGCATTTTGTTTTGTTTTTTAAGAAATAGGAAGAAAGAATTAGCAGAAGCAGCAGCTAACAAACTTGAAAGCCCCTTGTGAAGTGGGATTCTGGAGCAAGAGAACAACTTATAACTATTTGATTTTTTAAAACTATGTACATTGAAAAGTATTTTAATACGGTTATTTTAAAATAGGTAGTATATTCATATGGGTCAATTCAGAAGGTACCAAAAACGGTTTATTGTACACTGTTTTTTCCCTGGCTCTTTCATTTCCCTTTCAGGGAGAAGGAATACGATCTCCCTCATGTATACACTTTCAGGGATGCCTTCTGCTTATTCAAGCTATGTGGGTTATTTTGACAAAAATAAATGTTCAAAAGCCTTTCTGACAAAACAGTTTCAGTACCTTGAGAAAGGTTTCTGTGGAAGGTGGTCCTGGGTGTCAGGGTAGAAGAGGGAACTTTCTATTTTTTCTAGGGCCTCTCGTACTGTACATCCACCTTCCTCCCCTGATGCATATAATTATTTTCATCATCATTATCAACACCATGAAAGACTTGGTGGAAGCTGGAGGCAGGGCTGCCTCTGGGAGGTGCCTGGGGGAGACACAGGGGACAGGGAATGTCACTTCCTTTTGACTGAGCGGCTCTTGTGCTTCGGCGTGGGGCTGTGTCTGCCAGAGGATGGGGCCTCTTTCCTAATTTTTCACAAAACATGAGCCCACAATACCCTTACCTGTACATGTATTATTTTGTGCCACTTCTATGTTTTACCTTCTCTAAAAATTAAACATATAATAAGTATATACCTCTAAAAAGACCGTAAAAAGGAAAGAATTCATAGCCAAAGAGGCTAGGCTTCCAGGATGGGGAACGTCAGTGGGCAAAGGCTTAGGAATGGGACCCATCCCAGAACCCTCCACTGGGGACTCAGGCACCCAGACTTGAAGCTCCACCCTGTGCACTAGCTGTGTGTTCGTGTCTCTGAGTCCTCAGCCTCAATTAAAACAAACAGGGATACTTTCTACCAACCAGGGCCTTGGGGAGAATAAATTCAATCATGAAGATAAAGTACATAGTACAGTGCCTGCGTAACATGTTCGTACTAACTTTGAACCCTGGGGCAATTGGTAAGTGTGCTGAACATAAGAATCCTTACGGGGACCTGGACTTATCTGGACAACCTGCATGGCCTAGGATGTTTCCACTCTCTTTCCTAGTTCTTGAGGTCCAGGAACAGGAACAGATAGTAGTTCCTGTATTGTGCGAGTCAGCTAAGACCTCTGGCTTCCCTGGAGTGTGGGTAACAAACACCTTGGCCTCCAAGGGAGGGCTGGGCTGTGCAGGGCAGCCATGGTGGGCCACAGCTTCAGGGTTCTGCACGCTGCAGGTCTCCCAGAAACTGGAGAGGCCAGAAGTCTATGATCAGAAAGTGCCAGAAATTAGCAGTGGAAGTCCTGGGTGGGAGTCCCAGCTTCCTGCTGTCTCTCTAAGCCGTGTGTCCTTCACATAAAAAAATTGAGATCATAATGCTCACTTCAGGGGCCATTGAATGAAATCACAGAGTGGATGTACAGCATCTCGTACTTGAGGTGATTTACGTCGGCACACAGGAGTTAGGAGTTCCCTTCCCCTCCTGCCACCTATTCTCAGGGGAAGCACACCCTCAAGGAGGGGAAATAATAAGTGCAGAGCAGATGGGTGGCTTCCAGGTTTTCCAGGAGTGGGCATGGGATCCAGGAGGCAGTTCTGAAGGCAGCTGCTGGGCATCCACCCACACCTCCCGCCTCCCAACGAAGGAACAGACATGGAATCTGCTCACAGTCTGGACTCTGGCTCCTCTCACGGGGGACATGGACAGGGAGGGTGTTATTAGGGAGCAAATGCTGTGAAAGCAAGGAGGAAACTTCCAGGCCTCTTCCCTCCAAAGCGCCTCATCCCTGAGATCATTTCAGGAGCAAAGAGGAGAGAACTCAAGCATTGTGGGGTGTGGGAGGCTCAGTGTTCCTTTCTATAGCACAAGCATGACATTTTAAAGATTCACCAAATGCCCTGACTGGTGTGGCTCAGTTGGTTGGGCATCTTCCTGCAATGTAAAAGGTCTCTGGTTTGATTCCCAGTCAGGGCACATGCCTGGGTTGCAGATTCTGTCCCCAGTTGGCGTGCATGTGAGAGGCAACCAATCAATGTTTCTCTCTCACATTGATGTTTCTCTCCCTCTCTTTCTCCCTCCCTTCTCTTCTCTCTAAGAATAAATAAATGAAGTCTTTTAAAAAAATAAAATAAAAACTTCACCAAAGGTCTCAGGGGTGGCTGGGGGCTAGAGGTGGGCCTAGGAAGTGCGGGGATTCCAAGCGTAGGTGACCTCCCATGGTTCCTCCTCCGCAGACACAACAGCAACACGGGGAATAAGTATGGCACCTTGACAAGCCCTTTCCTCATATGTGTTTCTACCAGCGTCCCTCACAACAACTGTATGAGGTTAAATGTTATCCCCGACTTCCAAGCAGGAAATTGAGCTTTGGAGAATTCAAGTCCTTTACCCCAGGCCTCATAGCTCCTAAGTGCCATGGTCAGAACTCAAAGGCAGTCCTCTGTCCTGCACTTAGCAGGAGAGAGTCAGTTCAGTCATTTGGAGACATGTATCCAGCATGTGGCCTGTGCCCAGCTGCAGCCCTACTGTGTGGAATTTTCTGTCAGTCTGGGAAGGCGAAGCCCTCCCAACATGCAGGGCTGTCTCTCACTGTGCGGCTCTGACCCAGCCTCCCTCCTGCTTTCTCAGGACCTGAGGCCCCACCAGGCATCTCCCATGGCTCTGTGATTGAGGTGGGCTGCTATCCCAGCATCCCTGGACGGTGGTGAGTAACCTCAGCAGGGAAAGGGCCAGCAGCCGCCAGGGGCCTGACCCTGCTCTCACCTCCCAGCTTCTCTGGCTCCATCCCACCTCTCCCTGAACTGGATTCTTCTGCAAACTCAAAGGCTCTGAGTGGATACCCGTCCCCTGGAGTCCATGCCTCCTGCAGCACTTCACTCCCTGTAGGCGGTGGCAACGGTGTCTTTTATTTATTTGTTTACTTCTATTTTTTTTAAAGATGTTATTTATTTTTAGAGAGGGGGAAGGGAGGGGGAAAGAGAGGGAGAGAGGGAGAGAAACATCAATGCATGATTGCCTCTCACGCGCCCCCTACTGGGGACCTGGCCTGCAACCCACGCAGTGCCCTACACTGGGAATCAAACCAGCAACCCCTTGGTTTGCAGGCCGGAGCTCAATCCACTGAGTCACACCAGCCAGGGCTGTTTATTTTTAATAACAAAAGTTGTACCTGCTTGTTAAAAAACATTTCAACAATGCAGAAGGTCACAGTGTTGAAAATGCAAGTTATCAGTTATGGGGGAGTTGAGGACACTCGCCCCGCCACCATGCTCATTCCAATACTCCAGTGACAGTATTATCCCCTTTTTACAGGTGGATAAGCTGAGCCACAGAGAGACTTAAGTGTTTGGTCCAAGGTCACAGGCCAGGAGGCTGCCGAGCCAGGATTCAACCTGAGGGAACCAAGCCACCCATCACGCTGTTTAGCTAAGCAACCTAAAAGTGTGTCCCCAAAAGGAATTCTTAACCAAAAGGCAGGAGTTTTGTTTTTAAAATATTTCCTTCATCAGGTAGGGTGGAAGGAAGAGAGGAAGAGGAAGAGAGAGAGAGAGAGGGGAGAGAGAGGAGCAGAGAGGAGAGATGCCCTATAGCATTCTGCCACTGGCCTTTTGCTCTAAATAAACTAGATCATGGCTTAGGTCTTACCATCACATTCCCAGGACTGCCTCCTGCAACCACTGGGCAGTAGCTGGGGTGTGGAAGGGGTGAGTGGGCTACGGTCCCTAACAGCTAAACTGCTCTCCCGCATGTTCAGGTCAGCAGCATGTGGCTGCCACGCATCTCCAGCACCGCGGTGACTGCGCTCCTGCTGGCTCAGACAGGTCTCCTGCTCTTCCTGGTCTCCCGGCCCAGACTGACAACCCCAGCGAGTGGCGAGGAACGAGTGCACGTGCTGGTGCTGTCCTCCTGGCGCTCAGGCTCCTCCTTTGTGGGCCAGCTCTTCAGCCAGCACCCTGATGTCTTCTACCTAATGGAGCCTGCGTGGCACGTGTGGTCCGCCCTGTCGCAGGGCAGTGCGCCGGTGCTGCACATGGCAGTGCGTGACCTGGTGCGCTCGGTCTTCCTGTGTGACATGGAGGTGTTTGATGCCTACCTGCCCTGGCGTCGCAACCTCTCCGATCTCTTTCAGTGGGCGGTGAGCCGCGCGCTGTGCTCTCCGCCGGCCTGCAGTGCCTTTCAACGAGGAGCCATCAGCAGCGAGGCCGTGTGCAAGCCGCTGTGTGCACGGAGGCCCTTCGGCCTAGTCCAGGAAGCCTGTCGCTCCTACAGCCACGTGGTGCTCAAGGAGGTGCGCTTTTTCAACCTGCAGGTTCTCTACCCGCTGCTCGCCGACCCAGCACTCAACCTGCATATTGTGCACCTGGTGCGCGACCCGCGGGCGGTGCTGCGCTCACGCGAACAGACAGCCAAGGCACTGGCACGTGACAATGGCATCGTGCTGGGCACCAATGGCACATGGGTGGAGGCCGATCCGGGCCTGCGAGTGGTGCGCGAGGTGTGCCGCAGCCACGTGCGCATCGCTGAGGCCGCCACCCACAAGCCACCGCCCTTCCTGCGTGGCCGCTATCGACTGGTGCGCTTCGAGGACCTGGCACGAGCACCGCTGCCCGAGATCCGTGCACTTTACGCCTTCGCCGGCCTGAGCCTCACGCCGCAGTTGGAGGCCTGGATCCACAACATCACTCATGGGTCCGGGCCTGGTGCGCGCCGCGAGGCCTTCAAGACCACATCCAGGGATGCACTCAATGTCTCACAGGCCTGGCGCCATGCGCTGCCCTTCACCAAGATCCGCCGCGTGCAGGAGCTGTGTGCCGGCGCGCTGCAGCTGCTTGGCTACCGGCCCGTGTTTTCCGAGGACGAGCAGCGTGACCTCTCCCTGGACCTGGTGTTGCCGCGTGGCCCAAGCAGCTTCAGCTGGGCATCGTCCACCGACACGCACCCCGGGCCTTAGCAGTGGGCCCCAGCTGTGGAGGAAACAATGGTGGGGAGAGGACCGGGCTCCACAGGGCACAGGCTGTTACTGCGGTAGCCTGAAGTTTGGGAGTCCTCCCTTGTATTAGGATAGGACTACATCCCCAAACTCCTTGTTTCTTTATCACCACTCTTTGACTTTCCTTCGAGTCCTCTTTCGGAGCCAGGTTCCCGGAAGGCACATTCTTCATGGAAAGCAAAGCTCGTGCCCCACTTCCTCTGGGCGCAGGGAATAGTTAGACAACCTGGCTCCCATTCAAGCTCGCTCTTTCCCCTTCTCTCTCTCCTCCCTTGGCTGATGCATCATCCAGCCGCTGAGAAGGGGGTGCTCCCTGTCTGGGAGTGGAAGGGCGCTGCGGTGCGCTGGGCCCTGAGCCTGTACACCTGCTCACACACACCTCAGACTCCATCCTCCCCTTGTCCCTGACACCACACTCCAACAAGGCTGTTGACGTTTATATCCACTTGTATCTTCAGCAAAAAAATCAGACAAGGTACCTCTTACCTTGGGGTCTCCCCATAGCTTCTCTCTGCCTGGCCTCCCAGAAGCCCATACATCCCCATCACCTGCCCAGGTAAGGTGAACCTTTGATTTGTCCTGACAGGAAATATCCTATGAACAGAAATAAACGTAATTAACCTGTGTGATACAGATTAGAGTTTACAGCCTGTGAAACTTGACAAGCAAAATGCCAGAAAAAAGAGACTTGTCCAAGGTCACACACACAGTAAGGAGAAGGAAGGGAGGAGGAAGGTTTTGCTGTGGGGCTGCAGTGGGGAGCAGAGGGTGAATTAGGCTTGCAGAGACCTGTCTCCTAGACAGAGATGGGTCAGGTTTTCCCATTTCATTTGTCCTAGGGAGGAGCAATCAGCCATGGCTGGAACCACAAGTGCGCGATACACAAAGTGGTGAGCTTTGGACCCAGAGTGCAGAATCTAGAGCCTCCTGGTTAAGTCTGAAGGGAGGCAGTGAGGCGCAAAAGAGGAGGGAGAGAAGGCTGAGAAGGTCTGGGCAGCAATCCAGGCAGAGCGTGTGGTGGAACAAGATGTTGGCAGCAGGATCAGTGCTTGGAGGGCAGGTCACAGGGTGAATGTAACTAGATCAGGCTTGCTGTGAGCTTGGAGGGCGGGGGGAGGGGGGAAATGCTCTGTCTTCCTTTGGTCATTCCAGGCCAAAGCACTAGAGGAGAGCGGAGTAAGATTCCTAACTGCAAACCATAACACCTAGTTCTGGGAGCAAAGTCTTATTAAAGGGGTGCTGGCTGTGTAGAGGGCTTAGTGCTGAGCTCAACAAAGTGACTAAAATGGGGGAGGGAAGCTCACAAAACCTCTAGGAAGTTCAAGGCAGCAGATTTGAGACTACACAAATAGAATACCCCAAATTCCACTGGGCCACAGAATTGGTCTGGGGACTGACAGTTGCCACTGGAACTACCGTGCCAATTACCTCTGGAAATGAGGGAGCAGTCCCTACTGTGCCATCAGCTGCCAGAAGGGGTTCTGGAGGGTGCTAGCTCCTGATTCTCCGCCTGGATGTGGCCTTGGATTGGGGGGACCTGGATTGTGGACCCACATCTTCACTGCAAAGCAGGCAGGGCAAGGGGGGCATAGCATTTTCTGCTTATTTTCTTGCACAGAGTGGTGATATATTGACCTTGAAGTTGAAGCTTCAGGACTCCTCTTTGGAGGATCCATCAAGGTGTAGGGGCTTCAGGCTCCATAAAACCTAGGCATGCCCCTGCTCACAATATCATGGAGAAGGTATTTAAAACCCCAGATTTATTAATAGGAGCTCTGTGACGTAGAAAGGCTAGGGTCACAGAACTTAATTTTGGGGTTAGGGCTCAAACTCACATCTTTGACTCCAATGCTTACACTCCTAATAGGTAACCCAACTAGGCACGCAGCAAAGGACTCCACCGCAGGCTCGGAAAGCCAGATCCTTTCTCCCTGGTGATGACATAGATCTTTGGATATTGGGGAACTGTCCTGGCATCCTGGCATTTGGCTGTGAATATCTCAAGGACCAGAATGTTGAGGGGTGTGGTGGACAAGTGGCTGAGGCATTGGGGTCTCTGCCACTAGCTCCTTTCCTCCCTGCATTCCCCACCCTGTCCTCTACCCTCTGCTGGCCACTGGGGATCAAAGCGGCCTGCAGGCCCTGCCTGAACAGCTTGCACTGTTGAGTGGAGGACTCAGCCTAGGAACATTCCCAGGCAATGTGGTATGTTTAGGCAAAGGCGGATGAGCAAGAGGTTCATGGTGCCAGAAGCAAAGAACGGGGGAACGATGATCCCAAGTGAGGTCCAGGAGGAAGGCTTTAGGGTCAGGCTTAGGCCCAGCCTGATTGTGGCATCCCACAAGTTGCATTTGCCAATGCTGGGTCATGAATTGTATTGAAGGCCATAATTATTGGCCTTTACTGTAAAATTCATCCATTTTCATCTGACTCCTGAGGTCCCAGCATGAGGATGTCTGGCTCCCGGACTTTGCTCTGTGGAAATGGGGCATCTGAGCAAGTCTCGGGTGAGCTCCCTGGCCTTGGGGTGGAACCAGAACAGGTTCAGGACGGACAGGCAGTACCCAGTTGAGTGCTCCAATGAGTCAGGCCCAGTACCAGGCTCTGGGGATGTAGTGGGGGACAGAGCAGTCACAGCCCTTACTCTTGTGGGAGTGCAGACTCTATATAAATATTCCCATAGATAAACATGCATCTTAAATGTTGATTGTGTCCCAAGAAGAAACAATAAGAATGGGTAGACATATTGTACTTTAATATGGGGAGTCAGAAAGATCTCTTTGGAAACATTTGGTTTCAATAAATGAAAGAGGAATAGGAGTTAATTGAGTACAGTATGAAGGAACAGAAACAGAGAAAGAGATTGGGTCGTGGCTCAAGGAACCATGACTTCTTGTTGGTCCCCTTGGAATCAAGTTTCCTTGACAAGACAAAAGACACACTCCTGGGAATCCAGGCTCTTGGGGTAGGAGAAGCTCCCAGGAGATGACTGAGCTTGCCTGTCTATAGCAGTTCCCTAAAGAACTGCTGAATCAAAGAGCATTCATGTTTGATATGTGAAACTGTCAAATTACTCTAAAAATGGAATACCAAGTTCCTGGAATGGAGTCAAGAATGTCTTTGTTACCCTCTCCTACTGACAGCTCCCACCCTTACCTACACAGGGTTAAATCAATCACTTTCATTCTCACCTACCTGACGGAATTTTATTTGGTGCTTTAAAATGAGCTATCAAGACATTAAAAGAAATGGAGAAAACTGAAATGCATATTTCTAAGTGAAAGAAGCCAATATGAATAAACTATATGTTGTATGATTCCAACTATTTGACATTCTGGAAAAGGCAAAACTGTAGAGACAATAAGAAGATGAGTGGTCAGTAGGGGTTGGGAGTGGGGAGGGGAGGGATGAATAGATGGAGCACAGAGGATTTTTAGGTCATCAAAATACTCTGTATTATGATGATAATGGATATGTCTTTATACATTGGTCAAAACCCATAGAATGTACAACACCAAAAGTGAACTCTAAAGTAAATTATAGGCTTTGGGTGTTTGAGATGTGTCGATGCAGGGTCATCCTTGGTGAGTGATGTTGATAATGGAGGAGCCTATGAATATGCGAGGGAAGGAGGTACATGGCAAATCTCTGCCTCTCTTTCAATTTTGATGTACATCTAAAACTGCTCTTAAACAAAAAAAGGCTAAAAAAAATACAAAACAAAAAACTGGAGCAAAAAAGCCTTGGTACTCTCAGAGCAGCATAGGAGTGCTGCTAAGGTGAGAGGGATGGCCAATGACACAGAGACGGAAGCAATGACCACAGACTGGACTTTGAATTTTCCTAGGGTAGTAAATCCTTCAGCCAATTGAGTATTTTCTCCCTTATGGGTAAGATGGAGATCTTGGTTGACGCCACAATTTTGGTGTTATTGTGAGCCCAGGCTTCAAGTCCTCCGTACCTCCATTCATTCATTCAATACACATTATGGGTTGAGCACCAATGAGTGCTGAGGGCACAAGTAAGGAAAGATCATGGAGATTAGTGATGTATATGTGTAGGGATGTGAGTTGCAATTTTTAATGGGGTAATCAGGGTAGGTCTCACTGAAAGAAGAAATAATATCTTCTTCACCTTGTCATTAAAAATTTGAGCTTCTTAACCACTTTGTCTATAGCTTAAAATCAATTCCATTATCTTTTCTGAGGGCACTCTTATTTCTGTTCTAATCTGGTTAGGTGGTCACTAGGACTATTGCACAGAAGTCAGTCTAAACCTCCAGGTTAAATCTACCATTTCTTGTATTGCACATCTTTCTCCTTCTTAGTTATCACTCTATTTAAAAATTTTTTGTTCAGTTACAGTTGTCCTCATCCCCTCCCCCCCATTACTCTCCCTTGGTTATCACTCTTTAACCTCACTAGAATATATACTCAGCTCCCTTAGAAAGAGCACATGAAATATACATTTTCTTTCTTTTTCTAAATAAGTTTTTTAAAAAATTTTATTTGCTTTTAGAGAGAGAGGAAGAGAGGGAGAGAAACATCATTGCTGGGGGACCTGGCCTGCAACCTAGGCATATGTCCTGACTGGGAATCGAACCGGCAACCTTTAGGTACTCAGGCCGGCTCTCCATCCACTGACCCACACCAGCCAGGGCTTGTTTTTTTTTTCTGTTTGTTTGTTTGTTTTTAAACATACATTTTCTGAGTCCTGAAAGGCTAAATGTCTTTTTTTTTTTTTAATCTCTCAATTTACAATTTGGAGATAGAATTTTAAATTCAAGATAGTGTTTCCTAATGTGATACATGATTGATTGTTACATTACTTTAAAATAATTGGTTTCTCCACTTCTTGTACATTTTGCTAGTCTGGGAAATGTACCAAAAGAGCATTGTTAAATATTTCATGACTTTTTAAATACTTACTATTTTTGTTTTAGAAAAGTTTCTTGATTTGATGCTAAGTCTCAGTTGCAGTGTTAGGAAAATGGTATTAAAAAGCTTCCAAAACAAAGATTTTAAGAGGGAACTCTAATAAACAATCTTGCTAATGATCTTGAATTAAAAGGAAAATATGTATTTTCTACAAAGTGATTTTAAATTTAAAGTAAATTATGTTTTCCGCTCCAAATATTGAAGTTATTGCTGCATTGTCTTTCAGCTTTCTTCACTTGGCCGTTGAACCATCTTATTTTCATTGAAACTAGTATGCTTTAAATCTACATCTTGATCAGGTGGGGTGTATGCCACTCCCCAAATTTATTATAGGTGGCGCTGCAAAGAAGGGCGGAGCGGAGCGCGCTCTATTGGAGTAGGAGAGACTTCCCCAGTAGGGGGAGTATTCCGTGGGTGCTCTGTAGACGCAACGTGAGGGGCGGGAACAACTCTCGCCCCGCCCCAGCCACCCGCGACGCGCTCTGATTGGAAGAAGGGACTGTCACTTGACAGCCCCGTTGGGGTAGGAGGAAGTGGGTCTGGGCCGAAGGTGGCGCTGAGGAGGCCGGGGTACCGAAAGCGAAGTGGGCTATAAGTGAGGGCGAGCTGCGGCAATACTTCGGGCGCTCTCTCCCATCTCTCTGCGGTGAATGGCTGCGGGATGGAGCACGAGGGGAGCGGCGGCAGCGGGGGGTCGGCCGGGCTCCTGCAGCAAATCCTCAGCCTGAAGCTCGTCCCTCGAGTGGGCAACGGGACCCTGTGCCCCAACTCCACTTCTCTCTGCTCCTTCCCAGGTACCGGCCCTGCGCCTGCGCTCTGCACTCCTCGCCGCGGTCGCCCGACGGTGGGGCGTGCCTTTTCTCCCGAGTGTAAGCTCGGTCCCGCCGCCTCGAAGTTTTGGGGCTCTTTTCCTTGGAGGGTCCCGCTCCTTCTTTCCTGTAACTTCCTCGCCGGCCCTTTAGACCCGGCCACCCCAAACCCGCGTTGGGGACCAGGTCGAAGGGAGCGGCCGCGGGTGTACCCGTCAGTGCTCGGCCAGCCCTTGAACTGGTCTTGTTCTTTGGGGTTTCAAATCCTCTAGGTTCAGACTTGAACTCAAAAGAGCCCTGGAGGCAATCGTCCCCTCCTTGTTTAGGGCGCAGGGCGCTCCTGGCCTCTTCCGTCCGAGCCGGTTTCTCAGCCTTAGCAGCTCGACGCCAAATCGTCCCGGCCAGGCAGGGGGTCAGTCAGAACTCACACTCCCTTTGTTTCTAGTCTGATCCCCTCTTCGCCAGGAGGTTGTCTGCTGATTGTTCGCACCTCCGTCCAGATCCACCCACTCCACCAGCTTCTCTTTCTAGGAATTACTTTCTGAGACCTTGCCGAGTCTTCTGCTCACGCGTTCGAGATCTTTGGCACATCTTCTTTTTAACTCTTCTTATCCACCCTGGAGTTTCTGCTGGGCCTGATAGGAGGGTTTTTCAAGTTTATAATACAAGATAGAAAGCTGTCCGTGCTCCAAAAGCAGAGAGGAGCAATTCCTTGGGAAAGCTAATGAAAGGCTCTGAGGGGAGGGCACAGGTAATGTGTGTTGGGCCTTTGAAGGCAAGACAGAACAGTGGCAATTGAAGGCTAAGGTTGGGCTCTCCAGCTGAGCTGATACCTTGACTTAGTAAACAAAGCGAGAATGGGGCCTGAGACCTGCAAAGAAAGGAAGATTGGATTACTGACTACAGACAAAAACAAGGCATCTGTGATTTTTTTTCATCCACCGGGCAGCGACTGTCAGGCGCCATTCAGTGAACCCCAGAGACTTGCTCTGTATTGCCTGCCAGTTTTTTTGTTTGTTTGTTTTTGTTTTTGTTGCCCCTGTCAGGTTTGTGAAATAGTTGGTAGTGGGGCAGGTGCAGATGTTAGCTTGAAATCATGCCCGTAATGATAATCTGTGGCAGTTCATCTTGTTTCTTCTAAAGATCTTAAGTTCACATTCACAGCAATAATATGGCATCCTGGAGACACTGTCCAAAAAATGAAATATCCATGCAGTTTGGAGGCACAACAGATTAGTCTGTTTTTGTTCATTTCCTTACTTTTTCTCCAAAGTCTTTGTTTTGAGAATCTTCAAACCTACTGGAAAAATGAAATGATAGTATAACAAATACCCACACACCCTTTACTTAGATTCGTTATTCATGTTTATATTCTTTTGCTTTCTATATATATGTACACATACAACATTTTTACTTTCTGCAGTCATTTGAAAGGAATTTACAGAAGTGAAGACACTTGATGCCTAATACGTTAGCATGGATCTTTTAAAACAAGGACATTTTCTGTTGTAGTCAGAAAACTATATCACACCCAAGAAACTTAACATTGATAGAATATTATCTAATGTATGGACCTTAATTTAAATTTTCCAAATTGAAGAATATCGTTTGTAGCTTTTTTTTTCCTTTTTAATTTTAGGATTTAATCAAGGATCACACATTGCATTTAGCTGTCGTATCTCTAGTCTGGTTGAATCTAGAACAATTTCTCCATCTTTGTTTCAGTTTCTTAAGGTTGACATTTTTCGAGAGTCCAGGCTAATTGTTTTTGAGTTTGTCCACCCCACAATCTAAATTTCTCTAATTGTTTCTTCCTGGTTACATTCAAATTAAATATTTTTGGTCAGAATATTTCCTACATAGATGAAGTTATCCATTTTCCAGTGCCTCATGTCAGGAGGCATTTAACGTCTGGTGAAGATGGTGTTTATCAGATCTCTGCACTGTAAGAGTATCTTCATTCTTTTTTAATTAATAAGTCATGTGAGGTGATACTTTGAAACTGTGAATATGCTGTTCAGTCTGTCTGGCCCTTTTCTTTCCCTCCCTCCCTCCTTTCTTTCCTTTCCCCTCACCTGAAGACATTTTTTTTTTTCACTGCTTTTAGAGAGAGGGAAGGAGAAGGGAAGGGAGAGAGAGAAACATCCATGTGAGAAACACAGGTTGGTTGCTTCTCCTACGTGCCCCAGCCGGGTACCGGACCCACAACCCAGCCATGAGCCCTGACTGGGATTCGAATCCACAGCCTTTCAGTTTACAGGATGATGCTTGAACCACACCAGCTAGGGCTTGCCTTTTTCTTTCTTTAAGAAAAAAATAGACATAAGTAGATTTGGAATCATATTTTAAACATTATCTCATAGCAGAGAATCTGTAGCTATGGGAATTGCTACAGATAGGAATTGTTTTGTTTTCAAAAATTGTTGTTAAAATACTCAACTGCCATGTATACTTGAGTTTATGAGTACTTCTATGGAGCTATAACGGGAGGTGCTGATCACCAGTGATGATTCATTCAGCAATACACATATCCCCTGCTGTCTGAAAGAGAGTTCCTATGAAACCTTTCCTAAGCTGAAATGGTTTAGAGTAAAGAAATAATCACCTTAGGACAGGCCTTGTTAACGGATGCACAGAGTGAATCAAGATTAAAGCACAGATGTTCACAGACCGTTCAAAGCCATGGGGGCTTGATGCTGAGTGTAGCTCTGGGGAAGAAGCTCGCTGGTGGCACTCGCTGCCCCAGGTGCACACTGCCCATAATAACAGCTCACTGTGTAACAGACCCTCACCGCTATTTTAAATTTTCACCTTTTTGTGAAAGTGAAAATCCTCTTCACCTTTGTTTTGGTTAGCAAAAACAGTACTAATGTAGGTCTTTCAGAAAAGCGAAGTGGCAGAAAGTGAACGTTTCAAATATGGGATACCAGAAGGCATTTGACAAAGTGCAGGCTCTGGGCTGGGGCTATGAACATTCATGAGATAAAGCCCTGGACCTCACGTTGATCAGAATGTGCTGAGTAGACACTTAACCTCCCTGTCCCACCTTTAGCTGGAATGATGGATACAATCGGTGCATGAAGTTTGATCCTGCTGACAGTGAATTTCATTCATTGACCTGAATCTGGAACAGCTTCTATTTTGGCCCCACTGAAAAGGTTATTTGTACTTTATGGTAACTCAATATGGCAAAATCATTGCTCTGAAATATTCTGTGGTTTATCACTACCAGGAAGCTTTGAATTGATTTTTTATTTAAACCTGCATTTGCAATTTAGCCATTTAGACTTTTGACTAACCTTCCTTATTCCAAATTGTTCAGATTGCTTTTGTTGTTGTCATTTTTAACAAATCTGAATGCTAAGAAAGGCAGATCTTTCCTTTGTATCAGGAATGACAATAACTTTCTGAAGGTATGAATTTCTTAAAATTAATATAAAAGTATATCTTGTGATAGTTAAATTAAAACCCACTTATGTTTGGTTGTACAGTTGCTGGAATCAAGAATGGCTCACACGTGGAGCAGTTACTTATTTGTTCACTCAACCAGTATTTACTCAGTGCCTGTTGCATGCCTATTGTTTTCTAGGCACCAAGTAAAGATGAGGTAGTGAACTAAACAAAGGAGTTTTCATTCTGATGAGGGGAGAGAGAAAATAAACAAAATTTGAAAGTGTAGAAAGGAAAAGCTGGTGGTGAATGTGAGGCAGGGTAGGGGGATAGTAAGTGGCAGGTCTTGTGTGTTCCACGTTGAGTGTTATTTTACATAAGGTAGGAAGCCGTTTATGAGGATGCCATTGGAAATGAAATCTGAAAAGGAGGAGGAGTGAGCCCCACAGCTGCTAGGAGAAGAGTGTTCTGGGCGAGGGGGCAGCAGGGTTAGAGGCCTGGGACAGGGGCTTGCTTAAGAAACATAAAGGAGGCCAAAGGATGGAACAGTGTGGGCAAGGGGGGAGGGGAGGGGAGGGCAGGTCCTAGGGGGCCCATAATGGAGGGTTTTGAGCCGAGGAGGGATGATCTGACTTACTGTTGTTTTTTAAGTGTGTAATTCAATGATTTTTACTATATGTGCAGAGTTTGTAACTATCACCACAAGGAACTTGAGAATATTTTCATCACTCCAGCAAGAAACCTCATACCCATTATGACTGACTTTTTGCCTTTGTGTGGAGATTAGATGGCAGGCCAGATCAGGAGAGACAAGATCTAGCCGTGCTAGAACCAAGACGATTGGAGTGAGGCAGGCCAGGGGGGCACACTCAGAAATCAGGGGTGAGAGGGCTGTCTATCAGTATGTCAGGAGAGAGGCGGCAGCCTACAGCTGGTAGTCCCAGTGAGCAAGTTATCATTGTTAAGGAGAAGTAGAGGGTATCTAGGAAGAACTCACTGTTTTCCTTTACTCTCAGACTATTACCACACTCACAACACTTCTGACAGCAGATGTGTAGGTTTTCCACACATCAGGTAATTCTGTGACATCAGTTGGGTGTTCTACAATTCAGTTCAGTTCTGACACTGTCTACTTGGAGTTAGCATCAGATCCCTCAGGTAAAGGGCTCAGTTCCACAAGACTGCCCCCACCCCCACCCCCCCACTTCAGATGCCAATCAAAAGTCCAGGTTGTCACTTGTGCTTCTGACCAACTGGCTGTTAATCAGAGGTTGCCACAAACCCTTCCTCGGTTTAATTTTCTACAGCAGCTCACAGAACTCAGGAATAAAGTTTACTACCAGATCACAAGTTTATTACAAAGGATATTAAAGGGTAGAAGTGAATGCCAAATGAAGAGATACATAGGTTGAGATCTGGAAGGGTCCAGAGCACAGTGTCCCTGTGGAGTTGGAGTGGGCCATCCTCCGAGCACGTAGATGTGTTCACCAACCCGGAAGCTCGCTGAACCCTGTGCTTTGAGATTTGTGTGGAGGCTTCATCATGTAGGTGTGATTGATTATTAACTCCACTTCCAGCCCTTCTCCCCTCTCCAAAAAATGGGGGATGGGGCTGCAAGTTCCAAGCTTATAGTCTTGGCTTTCTAGTTACCAACCCCCATCCAGGAGCCCACCAAGAGTCACCTTAGGAGAACAAAAGACGATTCTGGAAATTACAAGGATTTTAGAAGCTCTGTGTCAGGAACCAGGGACGGAGACCAATATATATGTATTTCTTATTTAACAAGGGGACAGATAGGTCCCTTGGCAGGTAGGTGGGATTCAGTAAAAAAGGGGTCTCACATTGGACAGTGTGGAGGGATGCAGGCTTTGATGCCATCAGCATCAAGGCAGTCCAACGTCGAGTTGCGGGACAGAGTAGGACTACAGTTCCCAGCAAGACTGATGTGGTCTACCTAGAACCCTGGCTTTAGAGGAGCTGGAAGTGTTGACATAGTTGTTTGACCTGGAACATGAGCGGGGGGGGGGGGGGGCGGGAGGGGGTCCAGCTGAAAAGATGGCTGAGTGCTGAGCCTTACTGCCCACGTGGTATAGGCCTCTTCCATTTCTGCTGATTGGGGCCAGGTTGGCCTTGAGACCTTGCATGGAATTTAGGTGACTCAGCTATAGATGTTAGAGGGCCTGAGAGCCAGCCATTACAAACCCCTTTTGTTACTATAGACCTCAACTAGGGGATTCTACAACCTGTGTGGCTTTTCTCTCTAACTGAAATGTCTGCCTGAAAGATAGATTCTTGAAGATAATAAGTTCCCTATGGGTAGGAATCTTTGTCCTTTTATCTTTATTTTTTTTCCACTGAAGTGCCTGACATATGGAATGGGCTAAATAAATATTTGTTGAATGAATGAACTCTTAGTGTTGTTGCCACTGTAACAATTTATCACAAATTTAGTGTCTTAAAACAACACAGATTTATCATCGTACAGTCTGGAGGTCAGAAGTCCAAAATAGGTCGTCAGCGATATATTTCTTCTGAAGGCTCTAGGAAGAATTGGTTTGTCTTTTCTAGTTTCTAGAGGTTGCCTGCATTCCTTGGCTCTTGGCCTCTTCCTACATCTTTAAAGACATAGCCTCTTCACATCTCTCTGATTCTGACCCTCCTGCCTCCCTCTTACAAGGACCCTGGTGTGATTACATTAGGCCCACCTGGAAAATCTAGGCTGATGTCAAAATACTTAATCTAATCACACCTGCAAACTCCCTTTTGCCACACATATTCACAGGCTCTGGGAATAAGTATGTGGACATCTTTGGGGCCCTTTCTGTCACCAGTACTTAATCTGATTTCCCCTTATAATCCTTTATTGTAGATCATCTGATTTGTACTTCAGCATCAGGAAGTGATATGACTTGAGCTGCCAAAATAAACAAAGCTGATGATTACGCACTTAATTTGAAACAGTGAACAAGGAAGTACTGTAAGAAATGTAGACAGATTTTTCACAGTGTGCTGAGCCAGGGAAATAAAAAGTACCATGTGATAATCAATAAATAGCTATTAAATAGATAGCAATTTAAGGTGCAGTAGGTTAAAAGGAAATCACTTAGTTTTTCTTTTAAAGTGTTTTATTGATTGGAGTTTGCCTTTGCTATTAGAGTCCTATAATAATCCCATCCATCTGAAAAATGTTTTCTAAACTGTACTACTCATCTAATATAATTAAGCCTTTATTCCTCCATAAAATGATTTAAATGATGCAATATAAAATATGTAGGCACTGACGTAGCTAATGGATGCAGCCCAGGGTTGCAGGAGGATGCAGTGTACTTCCCCTTCTCAACACCTTGGAGGTGCTGACCTGCTATGCCAGACTTTGTTTGCCAATAGGCCTTTCAGCTTTTAGGGAAATTGAGGTGTGGGTTGGTAGCCTAGCAGGTCCCCTTGGGCAGGTCCTGTGCTCCAGAAGTGGGACCAGGTGAGTGTTGGCGTCTTATTCTGCTCAGGCTGCTGTTACTAAGTACCGTAGACTGAGTGGCTTACATAACAGACATTTATTTTTACATGGTTCTGGAGGCTCATAGTCTAAGATCAGGGTGCCAGCATGGTGGGGTTGTGGCCCTCAGGGGCTGCCTCCTTGCCATGTCCTCCCCTAGCAGGATGAGAGAGACAGAGAATGAGGGGAAGAGAGAGATCTCTTCCTCTTCTTATAAGGCTACAGTCCTTTTGGATTACAGCTTCAATATATGAATTTTGGTGGAACACAGTTTGTTTCATAGCAGTCGGGTAGCACACCTGAGTGTCCAGTCCCACTTCTATGGAGGTTAACTTAGTGAGTCTCTGGCAGTTCAGGACCTCACCTCCGAGGTCACTGCCCCAATGGTTGTGTGGCAGCCAATAAGAGGCCAGGTACCGGCAGTGCCTTGAGTTGATGCAGAAAGCAGTGCTTCTCTCTAAATTTGGGGCGCTCAAACAGGGCCCAAGAACAGTAGCAGGTCAGCGGTGGCAGCCAGCAGCCCGTGGCGGCTGCCCTGTGTCTGGGAGGCAGATTTGTAATTCTGTTTGTCCACCTTGGGACAGTGGCGTTCCTGGTGCCACCATAGAACTTAGTGTGCACACTGGGTGGTCTTACGGAGGTCAGCATCTCTGAGTGATTTGGGCAATAGCTGGTAAGGACTATGGGGTGTAAGATGGAGTTAACTGCTCTGGAAGGGAACTGCATGGTGCTGTGCTATGGTTTGGGGATGAGCTGGTGATGGGGTGGTGTACGAGGGGGCCCTAGGCTGGGCGGGCCAGGCTGCTTCACTGAGCCAGGGTGCAGCAGGAGCTGCCCAGGCAGGAGGGGTTTGTGGGTATCACAGCTCTGGTGGGTACACTTTTATTGGGGAGGAGCAGTGTGTCTGGACACCAGACAGTGCCACCTCTGGAGCTGCTGCCAAGAAGAGAGGGCAAGTCTCCTGGGCGGGGGCAGCGAGAATAGCTTCCCGCCCAAGGCTGGAAAGGAGGCTGCAGTGATGTAGGTTTGTTTCTGAAGAGGACGGGACCCAGACCCTGAGGATTCAGAATCCTGCCTGCAATTTCTGATCGACACTATCGACGGGAAAGTTGTTTTTTTCTTTGCAGAGGAAGGGCAATAGTTAGTTAATAAATATATTTTTTACATATTACAAATATGTTAGTTATATGTTATATATTTAATTTTAAGCTTAGGACACAATTATTTAATCACTTTATATTCCATATTGCATGATTAACTTGTTTTAACAGAATTTGCAAAAAATCATGAAACAAAATAGACCAGTTTCAACAATATTATAATACAATTCTAAAGATATATAATAGCTTGTTCAGCAGAAGGAAAAATAAAAGCTTACAAATTGTTTGAAGCTTTTTATAGCTATCTGATAGTCTCTCACCAGAACAAAAGTGCCCAACACCCTCAGTTGTTTGTTATTTTTTTTAAAGATTATACGTATTTATTTTTAGAGGGTAAGGGAGGGAGAAAGAGAGGAAGAGAAACATTAATGTGTGATTGCTTCTTGTGCGCCCCTTATTGAGGACCTGGCCCGCAACCCAGGCATGTGCCCTTGACTGGGAATTGAACCGGCGACCCTTTGGTGTGCAGGCCAGTGCTCAGTCCACTGAGCCACACCAGCCAGGGCAGATGGACAAGATTTTATCTACTGTGTCACCTTCACTATATCCACGTGGGTAGCTGAAGAGCTATCCTGAGAATTCTAAAGCTGCCTGGGCTCACTGGGGGAAAATGTTGTGCCTGCTGTTTACCAAATTATAAAGTCACGAGGGCAGGGTGGTATCTCCTCCTTTTTTGTATCGTCCAAGGTGTCTCATGCATAGGTTTGTATACATGGTTGATGATCAAATATTTTAATGTTACTAAATTACTGTCATTGTAAGAATGAATAGAGGTTCTCTCTAGGAACCAGCTCCTCTTCTAACTTGCCCTTCGCTTATCATTTGTCTTCAAACCAGACCATTTGTATTTTCTGGTATTTATGTCATACCTTAAAGAGCTTTGATAGCCTTAAAGGAGGCAGTGACTTGATATTTACTGCATTATCTTGAAAATGATTATTGAATGAATATAATTTACAGCTTTCCATTTTAGGAGACTGAATAATCAAAAAGCCAGGAAAGATCAACAGGTATTGATTGCATGGTACCCAGTCAGTGAACTTAGACTTGTACTTCTTATAGGAGGAAAATGGTTTAGGGCAGTTTTCAAATCTGAGTGAACCTTTTTTTTTTTTTTTTTTCAGTGTTTGGGGCTAGAGGTAGCGTTTCAGGGATTGGTCAACTTTTTCTGTGAAGGTCCAGGTAGTAAATACTCTAGGCTTTGTGGGCTGTGTGGTCCCTGCCACTGTTTCAGCCCTGCCCTTGGGGCTGAAAAACAGCCATAGACAAGACTTAAATGAATGGGTATGGCTGTGTTCCAGTAAGACTTCATGTACAAAAACAGGTGGTGGCTGCAGTTTACTGATCCCTCTAAAGCCATCAGTACTTGGATAGTTGGCAGATGAACATACCTTGCAACTGAATGGTTTTGAAAATGAACTAACTGGGTACCATGACCATCCCTTTGTAATGACTGCGCTGGGAAAGGCAGTGATTTGTGACCTTTCTTTTCCTTCCCTTGTAGAGATGTGGTATGGTGTGTTCCTGTGGGCACTGGTGTCCTCTCTCTTCTTTCATGTCCCTGCTGGATTACTGGCCCTCTTCACCCTCAGACATCACAAATATGGTAGGTTCATGTCTGTAAGCATCCTGTTGATGGGCATCGTGGGACCAATAACTGCTGGAATCTTGACAAGTATGTTAGACATTAAAATACCAGTCAATCATAGACACAGACAACAGTATGGTGATTACTAGAGGGAGGGGGGTAGAGGAAGATAGAAATGGGAAAAGAGGGGTAAATGTTGATGGAAGGAGACTTGACTTGGGGTGGTGAACACACAGTACAACATACAGATGATGTGTTATAGAATTGTACCCGTGAAACCTATGTAATTTTATTAACCAATGTCACCCTGTTAAATTCAAAAAGAAAAAATAAAAACAAAATAAAATACCAGTCAAAAGTCATTTCATATGACTTGTCAGTTAATTTCAGGACCCATTTTTGAAACATGCCTGAGTGGGATGAGGAAAAAGAGTGGTCTTTAACCACAGGTCCCTTTAAAAAAATTTTTTTTTTTTAATCCTTACCCAAGGACATTTGTTCATTGCTTTTGGAGAGAGGGGAAGGGAGAGAAACATTGATGTGAGAGAAACATCGATTGATTGCACAGGTCCCTTTATTATGTACCATTTTTTCCCTCACCCTCAGTCCCCCAATTATTTGGCTAAGATCTTTGATTTTCTGAGTCAGATTTCCTCTTGCTGGCTTCCAGGAAGCTATGTTAAGCTTTGAGAGGTACATCTTCTGACAGGTCACTAGCAAAAGGAAGATATTTGTCTTTTTGGAAGCTACTATTCCTTTCTCATCAGCTGTCACTTGACTGATAACATGATAAGATGGTTGATGAATTACTTCTACTCCTTCAGGTGTGGTTACTTTAACGATGGAAGAATAATTCCAATGACAAGAATTCCTGTTTTAAAAAGTACCTGGTTATTTTTTTCCTCTGAGGAATTTCTGAGTAAGAATTGGAGTAACATTCATATTATAAATTATTTTTACCGTTTTTTCCCCCCTTGGCTCATGTCACAGGGATGAGAATAAGTTTATATCTTTTTAAGTTCATAATTAAATAGAACTAACATGTATATTTTATATAAAGTAAAAAGTATAAGAAAGCAAAAATAAAAATTCTCCATTGCCACATTCCTAAATGAGAACCACAATTTGCATTTTGGTATGTGCTTCCTGACTCTTTTCTAAGTATACATGTAAACATAAATATATTCTTAAAAAATAGAAACATAGCATTCCTACTAATTTGTAACTTTATTTTTTTTCCTGTGAATTTAAACCTTGAGCTTAAAACAGAAATCTCCCTTTGTCTGTAGCGTGAGGGTTTTTTTGGGGACAAAGTGGCCTCTTTTCTTTGTGTTCCATAAAAGATAAAAACTTAGGGATAACAAAGGAAAGAGACCAGTTTTCTCCTGTCTGCATTAAGGAGTTTCCATAACTGTCCTTATCCAGCATTTTGAACTACATCAGCTATCTTTAGAGACCCTCTTCTCCAGTTTTTTTTTTACTGGATTACGGCTGTGAGGACCTGTTTCAGATTTCTCATCAATGAAGCAGGGATAATACTACCCACCTGTGTGATGATTAAATGAAATGAGGTGTATGTGAAGTGTTTAACATAATACTAACAACATACACATGGTGATGTAACAGTAGTAATTGTGCGATAAATGCTGCATCTTTAAGATTTTATGCACAGAGTCTGTTCCCTTCTCTTTGCTGACCTTTTTGTAAGCTTTTTCTTTTTTTCCTTCTTCATCATCCGTATCCCGCATTAAGGCCCAGTTCAAGTTGCTTTAGCTTCTTTCTAACCAACCCACTTTTTTGGAACTAAATGATAAAAGGGGTTCAATGAAACATGTGCCTCTCAGATGATAGTAGTGCAGCATGTATGCATTGCCACTGGAGGTGGGCATTTCAAAGTCACAAGTGTGCCTGGAAACCAACACAGGTATTGATTAATATTGTTCTTCTTAAATTGGTTAATAACCTTCACATCACATTTATAAACTGTGTAGATATTTGATTGAGACACTCTCTGACTTGAATCATTCAAAACCTCTTTCATGCTGTGCTTTCTGTCCCGTGTCCTCAGCTAGATTCTGTGTGCTATGAGGATCGGGACCACACGTTACAAAACATAGAATTACATAAATATTTGAGTGAATGAGCCCACTGTGACCAAGGAGAATTTTGTTTGGAGCATTTGGTGGAGTGGTCATCCGGGAACTTTGGATCTTTTGGAGCTGTCCTTTTCAAACTAACGAAATCTTGACTTTCTTGGTATGATGCTGAGTCTGCAGGGTAACTGAGCAGATCCGAATGTGCTTGTTCTGTTTACTCTATCTCTAGGGAGTTATAATGACTAACATAATAAAAACAATTAATGACAGAGGGAACAGAAAGGAACCCCTGAGTATCCCTCTCCTCACACCCTTTGAATTAATAACAACTTTATAGGGTTAGAGTCCTCTCTTCCTTTTCCCACCCCACTCCTCCCTCTTCCTTCCGCATCCTGAAGGGAATTTTGAGTATAGTGGAAGGTTGAGTGGAAATTCCTTGTGGCTTTTCCTGAAATATTTCTTGCTCAGGCTCACACAAAAGATTCTTTGATATTCATTGCCAGGAATTTATGAGGTACCTGTTAAATGCATGAGGAAGAAAGAGATGTTTTTCAGCTTGTAATCAGATCATGTGGAAATTGCAGTCTTTGTGATTTGGATTATGACTCCCAGATGGTTTTTATTCACTATGCCTAGGAGGCTGTCAGTTTTAAGGTGTCACTTTAAAACATCTAAAAGCATGAATCAGTAATTTACAAACCATATAAGAAATACGTAGAACCTAGACAAGTCAGCAAAAAGAATAGGGAAAACAAAAACATTTCTGTAATGTTTAAATTTTAATGTAGAAAATCTGGAACATTTTCCTTATAGTAGAATTTTAAGTGCTATAATTTCCTTATTATATTAATCTTGATTTTTGTTTTAACACTTGAATTTTGGGACAGGTGCAGCTATTGCTGGAGTATACCGAGCAGCGGGAAAACAAATGATACCATTTGAAGCCCTCACCTTGGGCACTGGACAGACGTTTTGTGTAGTGGTGATCTCCTTTTTACGGATTTTAGCTACTCTATAGCATATACCCTTATGCTATGACGTTGAACCTAAGTTTTATAGAATCCTCAAAAAGAATACAATATGGAATGTAGTGTTTTTGTAGTTCTTCAAATGGAAGTAATTTGGTTGAAAAAGTATGCAAAGAACAGCAACTCAGCCTTTTCTTCAATCTGAAGTTCCAAGAAGTGAAGATCCTTTTGGACTCTTATTGTTCTCAACCAAACAAATCAAGTTTTATTTCATGTTTGTTTGTCTGTTTGTTTGTTTTGATAATTTAATTTAAGCAGTTGTACAGGTGCACCTTTACCCAAAGCCAGGTCAGCGGTACTTCTGGGTTAGCAGTCTTTGCACTGAAACTTAAAATACTCTGTGAGAAAATGCAGTGTTGCATATTTCAGAAAAACCATGGAAAATATTGGTTTATTTCTAAGCAGACTATACTGTACCAAAAATCTCATTTGATCTAAACTTGATTGAAACTTGGTAGACTTTTTTTTTTTTTTTGGTACACCTTCATGATAGTAAGTGCCAAATAGGTTTTGGTTGAGTATAGTATAGCTTTGTGAACAAATTTGGTGAAATAAAAAGAAAAAAATATCTGTGTAACACAAGTAGTGGCTTTGATTCCAGTGTTTTTTAAAAAAGGAGATAACTACTGAATGATGTGATATTCTATGGATAACTCTCTTGACCTCTGATTATTTAATATATTTAAAAGATGTGAATTTGTTGTTTTATACATTTGATCAAAATAAGCTAACTAATTGAGGCTTTTTTCGCCCCAGAATTCCAATACCACCTTCTCCTATCACCTCTATTCTATTAATTTTATTCAGTTTAATTGGAAACATATCCTAATAAATAATTGAAGTTGAAAATTTTAAATTAGATGGGTTAGCATACTCTTGAAATTAAGACACATAAAAATGATACTTTAAACATTCTGTTACAGTTTTTCTTAGTGCCTGGTTTATTACTGGCTCTTGAAAAATTGTAGAAGTGCAGCTTAAACTAGTTTTAGGGTTACTGATTTCTTAGTTTTAATAGCTACTTAGTCTTCTTAGCTACTTAGTGGTAAGTGTCACTTCCAGAAAGTGCCTGAAGTTTAATTTTCAGATATGCCATCCACTGTGCCCTTTACATTTTCCTTTAAGAGAATCGATGTCCTTAAAGAGAATTAAATATTAAGAATTTTGTTGTGTTTTTTTTTATCCTCATTCGAGGACATGCTTATTGATTTTTAGAGAGAGGGAGAGAAACATCAGTATGAAAGAGAAACATTGATCAGCTGCCTCTCATTCCTGCCCTGACCAGGGACTGAACCAACTACCCAGGCATATGCCCTGACGGGGAATTGACCTTGAGACCTCTCGGTTTACAGACAACGCTCCAACCAACTGAGCCACACCTGCCAGGGCAAATAATAAGAGGCTTTTAAAACCCAATTTTAGCTATTTAAATTTTTCTTCTACTGCCTAACTTTTTTCATTAGAAGGCCTGAAAACTGTGACCTTCAAAACAGGATTGCAAAAACCAAGACAGTTCTGTATGGAATACAATCAACGTTGTTGTTATCTGTTCTCAAAATAGCTTCCGGTAATTAAGTTTGACATTTTTTAAAGGAAAGTTTTCATTGTGAGAGTAAGGCTGACAGCCCATGAGGTCATATACACACAAACTGTTCCACTTAAAGAGATACACATTCTGGCTTCTGATTAAAAACAGCCAGGAGGACCAATTTACCAGGAATGGTCAAAATAGAAAAATTACAAAGGATCACAAAAATTAACTGGACATTTTCTTTCAACTAATAGGCCATTAGACCCCTTATCAAAATTATAGTGTCATATACTCAGCCAAGGTGGAAAATTACAGGTAGAGATGGAATGCAGGCAAACATCTTTATAAATGCCCCAAGATTACTCTCCAATGCTCAAATCCTCCTTTCAAGCAAATTTTGTCTTTAGTGAAAAACTCCATTCTTCAGTTCAAGGAGCTGTGATTTTGAAAAGTAGCCTTTAAGTCAAAGAAATTTGGTATGTATCCTTTATTATAAGAAATGATTTTAATAATCTCTATTGAAGGTTGCTGCAGCGTTCTCACCTAGAACATTCTTTTGGATAGAATTTCACAAATTGAACAAGTGAGCCAGTGATTGGTGGGCCCCTCCCCCGAGCTAATTTTTAAACCACATTGATCTATGATTTAAATGTTTGGTTATTTTTCTTTTAGAGCCAAGACACAAAAAATTAATGCATCTTGAAAGGTGTTTCCTGTTTCTCTTTCGTGTTTGCTATATTCTGATTATCTGCTCTTTTTAAAAACTTCAAATATAAAATGTATCTTCAAATTGAATGTTTCCTTCATGCCAGTATGTGAACAGTCTTCTGTGAATATATGTGTATATACTTTCTATAAATTGAGTTTTGCATATTGAATGTTTTCAGGACAAAAGTATTTGAATGATAAAGAATAGCTATTCTTCCTTATTTCTTTTTCTTTTTTAAATTTTCACTTCAAATACACAATTATTTGAGGGTAGTTGCTCAAATAAAAAAAATACTGATATTTGTTTTGAACATTGTATTTTACTATATAGATTTTTGAGAATTTTACCAAAAACTGGCTTTCTTAAGAGACATGCACAACCGCCCCATCCCCCAGCTGTATATTGACTTTTTTCTTTTTTAATTTTGGGGGAGAAGACAGCCCCCAACCAAAAGCTGATTTCTGGATTCTTTAAAATAGACGTTTGGGAGTAAAGGCATTTCATGAATACTTAGGTCCACATTTAAATGCATAATGAATATTCCAAGAGAAATAAGGCCTTTTATTTTTATTTTTATTTTTTTAGCAAAACATTACTTCTTAGGGAATGTCTAAACTAGTGAGAAAAAGTTCCTGCAATTATTACCTTTAAATTTGTCCTTATGTTTTTTTAAGTTTTTTAAGTTGTATGTTGGCTTTTGGTGCCCTAACTGCTCTGGTTTGAATTAAGTTCTTACTACAACTGCAGTGCATATAACCTTCCCTAAGAAACCGTTTCCTGGATTGAAGCCCTGGTGCCATTAGCTGCCCACAAGCAGACACTTCTATGTACCTGTGTTTCTTTTTGTGCACTCCCTTAGGCTGGTTGTGACTAAAATCAGCTTAAATTTTGTATTAGATTATTTCACTAACTGCTGCAGTCAAAATGATCAAGTCTTTGTATGATAGAAAATTATTTAAATTTTATTTTTCTACTGACATTTCTAATTCTGATATAAATGTTTATCAATAAAGAATTTCTTTCAATTCTGTGAACTGGAACTATTATTTCTTTTTCAGTGGGCAATGAGTTTAATCTTTTGTAATAAAATTGACTTAAGTTCTTGGGGGGGTTTTTATAATTAGTACTTAACATGTTTTGTGGTATTCCTTTTATGTTCAACTTCTTACTAATTTGTGGTAAAATTCTTGTTCAAAGATGTGATTAAACTGTACTTACATGTGAACTTGAGTCTAATTAACTCCACTGTGTGAACTATATATTAATATCAACAAGCTTTTGTATGGTTAGCACCGAAGTGGTGGAAAGCTGATAGTGTGAAAAAAATTTATTATTATTGTTTTTTAAGATTTTATTTATGTATTTTTAGAGAGAGAGGAAGTGAGGGAGAAAGAAGGAGAGAAACACCAATGTGCAAGAAAAACATCAGTTGCCTCCTGCACGCTCCCAACCCAGGCATGTGCCCTGGCAGGGAATCAAACCAGCAGCCTTTCAGTTCACAGGCCAGTTCTCAATCCACCAACCAGAGCAAAAATATATTATTTCAATAAATTTTTACATGAAGGGAGTCTCCCAGGTTAGTTTAGCACTCACTGTGACATCAGGAATCCTTTCCTGCTCTGCCATGTTCATCAAACTGGGTTGTCCAGTCTGGGTAGCTTCCACATGGTCACAAGGTGCCTGCTGCAGTTCCAGGCTTTGTAGGCAGACATACAATGTCTGGCAAGGAAATACCCATCCTCTCTCTCATTTTTTGAGGTATAATATACAATAAAGTGCACAAGTATATAGTTTGATGAATTTTACATATTTATACACCTACACGACTACCCCATAGATCAAGATACAGGACATTCCTAGCACCCCAGAAGGAAACATGCAGTTTGGCCAGCAGCTGTGTATGTATGTATCCCGGACCCAGGAGAGAAAAAACTTCCAGGTTTCAGGAAAGGCCATAACCCAAGATTGGATAGTGCAAAGAGACTATGGCAGATGAGGGGCTAAAGGTGCTGAGTTGGCAGAGAGGACCCTGTAAATTACTGCCGAGATAACATGGTAATAATGAACCAGAAATCTTGTTGGGAGTTGTGGGGATTTGTATTGCGGCCGACTGGAGAGCCCTGTATAAGGCCATTGCTCAGTTCCAGCCAGTTTTTACTTGGGAATATCATATGCCCATTGCTGACACATGCTACAATTTTTCAAGGGAATTTGGAAATCTAGGTTATTTGAAATCTCTCAATTTTAAAAGTGCTGGCAGCTTAATTTAAATTCATGTAAAATCTTTTCAAAAGGCCAGATTTTACAGGTCTTTGGGCTGGATTTCGCCTGCTAACCAATTTTTGACCTCTTTACTAAACTACTTGACATAATAGAAAATACTTCCTCCCCTGGTTACCCTTAATGTGGTTGGAAACTTTAGTTGTGGATTTGAACAAAAACATGGAGTGCTCCTGAGCTCAAGAGGAGACTGGGAGAAATGGGATGATGCTGGAGAACTCCACTGTGTCCTTTTCCCCAGACTTAGACCCCAGCGATGGGGCAAACGACTACAACCCAGTTTGTCACTGCACGGGTCCCTTCATGCTGTTCAAGGAAAATTAGGGTAAGAATAGCAAACTCCCATATCTATTTTTCTGTTATTCTCCCATAAGAAAGATCTGCTGAGATGGATCATAGACATAAATATAACACTAAAACTATAAAACTCTCAGAAGAAAACAGGAATATGTTTTGTGCTCTTTGGTTAATCAAAACCTTCTTAGATACAATTTCAAAAGAAGGAACAAGTATAAGGAACAAGCACAAGGAACAAGGGATAAAAATAAGTTGGACTTCATCAAAGTTAAAACCTTTTATGCTCCAAAGGATGCCCTGAAAAAAGTGAAAAGACACCCCACAGAATAGGAGAAAATATTTTCAAGTCATTTATTTTATACAAGACTGGGTATTCAGAATATATAAGGAACTTACAACTCAACAAGAAAAAGAAAAATGGCTCAATTTTAAAACGGGCCAAGGATCTGAATAGACACTTCTCCAAGGAACATAACATGGCCAATAAGACATGAAGTCATCAAGGAAGTACAAACAGTCATCAGGGAAATACAAATCAGAACTACAATGAAATTGCCACTTCACATCCATTAAGATGGTAATAATCAAAACGAGTGTTGGCAAGGGCATGGAGAAATTGTAGCCTTTGTACGCTGCTGGTGAGACCATAAGATGGTGCTTTGGGAAACTGTGACAGTTCCTCAAAAGGTAGCGCACAGAGTTACCACAGGATCAAGCAGTCCCATAGGTACATATATACCTCAGAGGAACTCTGGAAAGAGCTAAGTGAAAGACGATAGTCACGAAAGACCACGTGTTGAATAATTCCATTCATATGAAATGTCCAGAATAGGCAAATCTACAGAGACAGAAGGATTAGCCTGAGGCTGAGGATTGGGGGAGAAATGCAGAGTGACTACCCGTGGGTAACACGTTCCTTTTGGGGGTGATACAAATGTTCCAAAATTGATTGTGGTGATGATTGCACAAGTCTGTGACTATATAAAAACTACTGAATTGGACACTTTAAGTGGGTAAATTTTATGGTGTGTGAATTATATTTCAATTAGGCTATTTTTTAAAGGTTGCTGGCATAGAGCCACTATAAACTCTGTAAATTGTATCCTGTACAGTAATGCAAATAATGTCCTTTTACTCACAGATGTATTTCATCTATCCCTTGATTTGGTAGCTCCAGGACTGGGTGACAGACCCAGTCTAATCGAGAACATCAAGGGGCCATTTTCAGCCAGGAAAAAAAAGAAAAAAAAAAAAAAACCCTACATCTGCACAAATAGGAAAAAAAAGTTACATCTTATCTACATTACTGGCTCCCATAATTGGATTATAATTAATAAAAATTTTAATCTGATAAGATGATGAAGGTTATATATGGTTGTACTTCCACATGGATTAACATGAAGGAAGGATTCATGTGGATGATGTCTGAATTCTAGAATAAGTCAATTCTTAATCTTGGTAGTTAGGTCTATAAAGTCACCACACACTCCAGCAGTGAACACTGAAGGACTATTGGGGGAAATACAAGGTTGGGTTCCTGTAAGTGGTCACATTTTTGTCAACTGATCAAAACATAACCTTTTTTTGTGTGTTTCTGTTCAAAGACATCTTATTTAATACATCTTTCTAACAAATAATTATGTGCAGTATTTCTTTATAAGGAAACAATGTTTCAAATACAGCATTTTTGTGTAATATGCCCTACAATACAGAGATTGTAATACTTTAACTCCCCCTCAGTCACACACACATACAGTACATACATAATACACACAGTATATACATACTCTGCAATATTCACATACTGTAAACAAATACAGTACTCTGTACTATATACTGTACAATAATGCAAATAAAGTCCTGAAAAGTTAAAGATAAAGCATTTAAAGTTTTATAAAAACATTAACTAGGATCTACTGTTGATGGAGCTGAAGGGTGCGTGGTGGCAGAATGCACGGTGTGGTTAACCCTACCGACCTTGGCTTCCCCACAAAAACCAAGGGAGAGCTTGGTGAAACTTAGCAGAAATGTAAGAGGGTGGCAGTTCAACATCAGGAATTTGGCTTTCCTAACTTGTTGATGGAGTTGACAATTTTCCCTTCCAAACTGGCTCAAAAAGTTGGGTCAACCTTGTCTGCTTGGCTTTTTGCCTCAAATCTTTAAGCATCTCAGCATAAGGCACAAACACGGTGGAGATTAGATGCTTAAATCTGAGGCTGCAGTCAAGCATAGGGTCACATTCTTCCAAGTCATTGAATATTTTTTCCAAGGCAGAATTCTCTTCTGATATCTTAGCCACTCTAAGGACAATTCTTGAGTCTTAGGTTGACTCTCATTGCTGTCCTCATCATTGCTGCCTCTGATGCCTTGTTTTGCCCTCTCACCAGGTCT